GTTTCCAAGCATATAACCCTGTTTTTTTTTCGGTGAAAAAACATATATTACTATCAATTTTTAGTGCTCGAAAAAGTATGCATAATATAAGAAGCAATCAAATATCAATGACCTGTAGATTTATAGGAGGTTCGCAACATATATAGTTTCCTGCATCGTAGTGTGGATATTGTTTAAAAGTGAGACAAAATGGATTAAATGATATTTCGAAGAAAAGTGGACGGTAATTGACTAATATGATAAAAACATACCTTGTGAGATTTCTTGAACGAGGGCAGGGACAATCATACCGGAATAAGAATCTCCGACAACATAAAAAGGATTGATGAAGTATTGTGGATGCCTCCTTAGCCACTACACAAAACAAAAAAAAAATGGTCTCTAGATGTTGATGTTGTAATCAATGAGACAATCGTTCGCAAAATATATCAATAAAACCCAAACCGCTTGGTTCAAATAAAAAAAGCAGAATGTGTAAAGCTTGGATTGGATCACATGGAAATCAAATGAGATGGGTGGGTTTTAACGAGTCTAGCTAACCAATGTGGTTAAGACTACAACCGGAAATTACTATAGTCAATAACTTTACACTAAGAGAATTACAACATACACAAGCAATTAAATGCAAAGAGGAGAAAAATTAAATGCTTTTAAAAAGTACTTAAAGTTTCTCTTATTACCTTTTGAAGAAACTCATGGGTCCTCTTTACTTCACTTATGTCACCAGTTTTATCAATTGGAGTTTTTGAGTAGGAGAAGCCAGATCCTACTGGCTGATCCAAGAATATTATGTTTGCCATCTGAGAAAATGATACAAAATTTAAAAAGACTGAAGAATATATCTAGACAAATGAACATACTATCGGCTACCTTTGTCCATGAATATGTAGTAGAGAACAAAGAAGGAGCACTTCCATTGTACACCTCGAACTTCAAACCCACCGGTCCTATTTTTTTTTTTTTTTTTATCACTTTAAATAAGTCGGTGAAAATAATGCTTAGTGAAAGAAGAAATATTATAAGATTTACCGTTCTCAAAAAGAATACCACCGAGACAAGAACATCCAGGTCCTCCATTTAACCATATAAGAAGAGGATCTTCTTTTGGATTGTTCTCAGATTTAATGAAATAGTAGAAAAATTGCACATTCTCGTCCTCACCAATACCAATGTACCTTCATTAAGAAGAATGCCTAATTATAACACATAATTGCATTGGTTAAAACAAAAAGAAGACATTTTACAAACCCGGTTTCAAGTTCGAAAGGAAGAGGGCCTTCAAAACCAGGAAGAAACTTGACAATAGAGGCACAATAAACATGATGACAGAAGACAAGTAGAAGCAGAAGCAGAAACTTTATTTTCAATCTCATTATATTCTGAATTCTCTTTGGCTAAAGATTACTCCGTTTAGGGAAAGACATAGGATCTTTATAAAATAATGATAATATAGGTACGTTGCTTTTGCAAAATATTGACACCACATGGATAAGGTAGGGTCGTTGCTTTTACTGCTCTTGATTTTGTTCATACCCCTTTACACTTGGGTGATCCAAAATTTTGGTGGGACCCAAGCAAAAATTATTAATATGGTATTTATATTTATTAATATAGCTAACAGATAATAAACTTACTAATTTGTCTATTTTATAAGAAAACATAAGGTTCGATTGGTAACACAAAACTATACAAATTTTTTAGTTGTAAGCTAGAATGGTAAATTTGTATGGAATAGTGCAAAACTATAAGAAAGAGTGATACAAAAAAGCTCGAAAAAACTGTGAATAACGTTTTTGGTAACGCTTTTGTGATTGATAACTGTTAAAGCGGTATGTCATGTACCACAATGGTAGATGGTTACCAATCAAAACTATAGTTAGATTGTTTAAGAGAAAAATACTCTAAAATAGCATTAAAATAGTATTTGTGTTATTTGTGAGAATTGTCCTTATTTAAAATGTATTTTGTTTACTTGGTTAATCAATAGTTAGTCATATATATAATGGTATAGTAAGAAAGAAAAACATGGGTGAAAAAAAGGAAGAGAAGAAAGAAAAACATGCAAATAATGGACCTCATAGTCATACTCATAAACTATTTATGAATCTTGAAAAAACGATTACTGCGAAATATATACTAGTAATACTTTAATATAAAGGCTCTTTTTTCATTTTAACATGTGAGGACTGCGGTTGCTTCACAAGTTTTGTTTTTTGTTATTAGAGTTTTTTTGTTAATTACAATTTTTTGTTATTAGAGTTTCATTGCAGTAACGTTTTTGGTATAGTAAAGTAACTTTTTTTTTTTTTTTTTAGTAAAGAAGTAACTTTTTGTGTAGGTTTTTTCTTTTTCTTTTAATCAACCGTAATAGAAGGATCTAATATTGGGATATGAGGTAGATTATGTCATATAAAACCTAATAAAATTAGTTATATATATGTAAATCATTGATTTAATAACAAAAGTTGACTCCGTTCGTACTTTGACATGGTATCAGAGCTTAAATCCTAATTAGTTGTTTTTTTTTTTGCATGTTCTTTGCCTAGTTGAATCCGATCTTTTTCTCGGATTCATCTTTTTGTTTAGTTGATTACGAGCTATTTGCTCGACGTTGTTTGTCAACATGTTTTTTTTTGTTAAGAGCCAACTGCTCTTCGTTTCTCTTTTGTTACGATTCAAACCAATTGTTTGATTTCGAGTTTTCTTTTGTGATTTGCTATGGCTGACAATTTGTGTCTTTCTTGGTCTTTATTATGGGTTATGAGGGAAGCAAAATGCAATAATGACACGAAGCATGGTGTCAAATCTGTACACGTATGTGTTTGACATTATCTTCTTCTTTTTTGTTTTTTGACTAACTTTTGTGCCTTTGACGCAATAGTGACATGAAGCATTCTTGCTTTCTTCTATAGAGGCAATGCCAACTTTTACTTGTGATTAGAGTTGTTGTTTCTGGATAACTTTTTCTCTTACACATCATGCTTGTATATTTAAATAGAGAGTACTATCTTGGTTGTCCTGATATGACTATGTGGAAAAGATGATACCTGGAATTGAAGCTCTCAATATCAAAGGAAAAAATATGTTTGTTGTGTTGTTACTGCATTGTTGGAAATGTTACAAGTGTAACTACACTGTTGAAATCATTTCATTAAAATATATTTCAATTACTTCTAGTTTATACCGATTTTGATAGGATTGGGCATAAATACTCGTTACTTACCTCGTACCCGTTACTTGCCTCGTACTCGCCTTGAAAAAACAAGTACTTCTCGTTGGCAAGCTGGTAACAAGTATCATAATTTTATTATTTGCAAGTCCAAGCAAGCCAAGGATCAAGTCTTAAAAAAAAAATCATTATCCGGCTTGTTTGACTTGGTACTCGTTTTAATATAGAAAGAACTTTAATAACTTATTTGAATTTACATATTTATAGTTTATAACTTACAAAAACAAAAATTGAAAAGATAAAAAAAATTAGAACTTTGAATGTTTTGAGATTTATATTGTATGAAAATGTTTTTCTATTCAAGTATTTTAGTTTAAGTAGCAAGTATCTTACAAGTAACAAGTCGGATCAAATTATTTTGCAAATAATAAGGTAAGGCAAATTACTTGCAAGTAATCAGATTTTAGACGAGTACGTACTTGCTTCGGACAAGGTAAGTATCAAGTTCAAAAATCAATTACTTGAACGGACCAAAGTGGATCACAGATACTTGAAAATTAGCAAATATTTGTCTTGTGCCTAAGTCTAAATTTTGATACACTTGGCGAAAAGCCAAAAGCATGTGTCGCTGCCTCCAACAAAGAGTACTGTATAGAATTCTGAATTATGTACCTGGATGTTGTTTATGTGAAATCCTTAAGTGATACAAAATAGCCATCTATGCATTTTTTTGGAGCTCTTTATTACTTGTTAGGAGCTTCAAATTTATAATAAAAATTCATCCGGATGGATAGAAAGATGCTTTGTGACATCGTCTTGGCTAGTAATAGTTTGTAGTTGAAGCGTTTGGCTGATCTAACTAGCAATGGAAACTTTAATTCCATCATCACTATGTCATGTTTTGTGTCATGAACCTGCATATACCTTGCTCACGCATTGTAAACCGAATTTTAATCGAATCAAATAAAAATAAATCAAACTGAAATTACTTTGGTAAAAGTTTGGTTACAGCTTTACGAAAACCGGATTAACGAAACAGAACATGAAAATGTTCATATCCAATGTTTGTTGTATAATAAATTAAACTGCAGACAACAGAGGCAAGCCATTATATAATTAAGCCTTTTTTTTTTGTAAACTATACACTGTAAAGTTTTTTGAAATTCTAGGATACGTTTCCAGTCGAGCTATCGAACTCTGGTTTACAAACAAATATCGGTTTCATTCTATTTGATTCAATTTGGTTTTGTTCGAATTTCTCTTGTTACAAAAATTTCGTCCACCCCTAATTGTAGTTGTATAGGGAATAGATATATTCAGTTCTTAAAACGTAGATCTAACTCTAACCTAAAAATAAGAGATCGGTAGCCATTAATGATGTTATTTAGATGGTATGGTACACTGCTTTTATTGTCATCATTGTATGACAAAATCCGGGAAGTGGTATGATCAATATTCTAAATGCAGCCTAACAAAAAAAAAAAAAAAATCTGCATATCGTTGAGTAGGCCCTTCTCAGATTTTTGTTTGTGTGGAGCAACCATTTCGAATTGGTTTTGTCAATCAGTATCATATATGTTGCTTTCTCTATATATGTCACTACACTTATCCACAAATTTTAAATCATATTAATAATGAGAGGGTACGGTAGTTGCGTTCCTCGTTAAAACTTTTGGAATAGTCCACCAACACCATGAATATATAATGATAAGGTACGTTGATTACCACCTACTTATCTACTTATATTTGTATCCAAAATGACCAAAATGTTCTTCTCAACATTAAGAACCTTTACCATGCACCTAGCCAGTCCTATTTTAAACCCAAAATATAAAAATAAAATTTGTCCTTTCATTTAAAATGTAATCGAAGATCGAGGAGGAGTTTGAACTGCGAACTAGTTTTTAAAAGGAAAAGGGGAGACATGAAAGAAAGACATATCAATCTTAATAAAAATTGACAAAACATTTCATTTTACATTTTTTTAATTCTTCACACGTAAAGGCCATGATCCTCTATTATAAAGGCTGGCGACTGATCCATCTTTTGAACATGATAGAAGTCTCGTTTGGTTTATACTCTGCCGTATGTCCACTTCCCTTTAACAAACAATACAAAAGAATAAACTCAAAACAATTAAAAACAAAATTTTATTGCAATGCAATGAAATAAAAATTTTAAGTTGAAACAAGAAGACTTGCCTTGATAGTAGCAAATGTCATTTTATTGGAATAAGTTCTTGTGTATCTGTCAAGAAAAAGGCAAAAATGATTTTATACGTGTGATAAGTTTTTGATACGACTGGAAAATGAATGAACAAGAGAAACCTAGCTAAAACAAAAATATATATACCCAGCGATTTGATCGTTTATCATCCAAGGCCTCCAATCATCAGTGATGGAATAATTGAGAGAACTTATCCAGGCTTGAGTTGCAAGGAAAGGCACCATCATATCATGGTCACCACTGATTACCATAAACCGCACAAATGTTATAATCTCTTGAACCAAGTTAGTAGGAGTGGGCAAGTTAGGTTCATGATTTTACTTCGGTTTGATTTTTTTTTTCGTTAATTCCCTGTTTTATTAAAACTGAAAAATAAAAACGATTTGTAATCCGGTTTGGCTGAGGTTTTGATTTGAATTTGACATATTATTTTTCAAACTATAAATAAACACCGAGTTTTAAAAATCCTATTTACGTAATATGCATATGTTTATATTTACTATGTATATATAACAAAACAAAAATATAGTTCTAATAAATTTTGGTTGTTTTTGTTTCAGTTTGGTGTACACTACAATCTACTTCGGTTTTTCTTTTATAAGAAAATTCTGGTTAATTCAATTCAATTTGATATGCCTGGTGTTGAAACATTTTCCCATCCTACTTGTGCGTTGTTTATTGAACAAAATTAGTTCTTAAAAACTTGGATTTCACACTTACTTGTAGATAAGAGATCGGTAGCCATCAATACTATTCTTCATATGGTATGCGACGCTGCTCTTGATGTCGTAATTGTACGAAATATTTTTATAGTTACATTGCACCCATTCTCCTATACTTCCCTGCAATTTTAGATCTTCATTAAGATTTTAAAATATATTTATATCATCACATTTATCAATGATTATAGAGATAACGGCCAATAACGACCTATAACTGATGGACTTCCTATTTTTCGACATGTTTGGTTACAACAAAAATTTATATGACCTATTCCTATTATTGAAACTCAGTCTCTATCTCTTACGTTGTTAAAAATCATATGATTATAGTTTGGTTTGGAAAGTAAAAGACACCTGTTTTTACACCAGATTTTTCAAGAAAATTAAGTAACTAGCCATGCGTCAGAAAAGTTGGGTAAATAACTCTTTTTGTGGTGGGGTAGGGATATGGAAAAGACCAATTAACCTTCTGAATATATAGTTTTTACAAGATAATGTATTTGTTTGTAAGTGGTGGTGGAGATCCGGTGAAAAATAGATCCGGCGGTAGAAATGATACGGTGGTCTTGGTCGTCATGAAGAAATTGGTTATAGAGGAGGTGATGGTGGTTTCGCAGGAAGCGGTGGTGGTGGAAGATTTAGAAAAAAAATAGATCCGATGGTGGAAGGGATACGGTGGATATAGTGGTCATGAAGGATGTGGTTATGGAGAAAGTGTAGTGGTCGCGGTATAAACGGTGCTAGTGAAAGATTTAGGAAGAAGGTGGAGTAAACACCATAGTGGTTTAAAGAAAATAGATAAAGATATAGATTTGATGGGAAAAGAGAACACAGAAAGGTCCGACAATGGAGATTCGAAAAGAGGATTGTGAAATTTTGAAAAATATCATGAAACATAGAGAAATTACATGAATTTATCATGTAAATGGCATGTAACATGAATAAAAATATGATTGCTTGAAGTAAATAGAATTAGCATGTGATATTATCATTTGTTGGAAAAAAACATCATGTCATTTTTAAACATAGCATGCCATCTCGAAAAACATAACGTTCGTAGTATAATTGCTTGAAGTAATTAGAAATAGCATTTGATATTATCATTTGTTGGAAAATATATCATGTCGTTTTTAAAAATAACATGACATTTCGAAAAATATAATATGTTAATAAAAAATAGCACGAGGAGGTTATTAAGCAATAACAGAGGTATATAAAGGCGGAAAAAATCTGGGATTTCAAAACAGCGGATAATATTTAGAAATAGTGATTCAACATTGGCGTTTTGAAACATATGAGCATGATTCGATTCCGCAGAAATGACGTTGTTGTTAGTGGTGAAACTTCCTATTGAGCAAAAAATAATGAGATATATTTTAACTTAGCTGAAAAAGATTGATTATGGGTTTGAGCATTATCGAAGCAAAAAAGATGAAGGTGAAGAGAGTGGCGGCAGAAGAGAGATTTAGAGAGAAGCCAAAATGAGGAGAGAGGAATGAAGAAATTTTTTTTAAAGGTTGTACATGTAATTTATTTACCTTTCCCGACAAGAAACTATTCATCATGGTTAATTTCTTTATTCTTTTTAGTTTCATAGCTAGTTAGTGCATATTCCCTATAATCTTTTTTTTTTTTAATTCCCTATTATCTACCAATACAAGTTATTATACAACATCGAACCCATTTACATATACTCCTCTAAAATCATAGATCGCTTTTGATCTTAAACTAAAATTGGTATATACCTTAGTGACTTGCAGAGCTCCGCGAACGCTCTTGTCGTTGGCCCAAAAGGTCATGAGAGAATACATATATAACTGCAAAAGCAACCTTGTTAATAATTTTTTTAAAATATCATAAAATTTGGATATTTTTCCCCAACCCTTTTATATGGGTCACTAGATGAAGGAGAGATGTATCACTTACAAAGCAATCAGGAGATGTTATATCGCAGTCAGGTAATAATATATGATACTTATTCAGTTTATGAATACACTGCAAATAACCCAAGAAATCTGAATTAGTGATGATCATTTTCAAATAGAGTACTGATCAATAACAACGACATACCGTAATATGTACCTTTTGATAATCTTTTATGAGTTTATAGCATTTTGTGTTAAGTGCATCCACATTCACATAATTTTCTTTGCAGATTCTCTTCATTGACTGTTAAAAAAAGTTTGAAACATTGTTATATCAGCTTTGAAATCGGCAAGGGTAGGGGTGACTTGTTTGAAAACTTTAAAGACTATAGACTTTGATTTTTTTTCATAAACGCGTTATTTTTTTTTAGCACCTTAAAGTTAAACGGTAGAACTTTTGACTATAAAGATTTTGATTTTTTTCAAAAGCTTAAACTAATACGTATCCTATCAAATTTTAACACTTTTATAGTCCTATAAATATGATCTAAAATATAAAAATCCAACATATTTTGACTTTATTCTTTTTTTTTAAAAACCAATATTTATGCTGGCAACATTTGAAAATAACATTTTCAATCACAGTTTTTCAATCACAGTTCTAGCTAATCATAAATTCAATCAAAACCTATCTTGTGTCAAAATAAAAAATTAAGCATGATATATATTTCATACCTCGTATAGTTCATCAGAGATTAATGTCATTCCATGAGCATATGGAATCTGATAGTTTTGTTCAGATTCAGTATCTGTTATCGGGTTTCCGAGGATATAACCCTATTTTCGTAAGAATGTATATAACTATTAATTGCAATGTTTTTTTTTAAAATAACATAATGTAAGAAACAAATAAATATCAACAACCTGTAGATTTATTTGATAATTTCCTGCATCATTTTGTATATATTGTTAATAATTGAGAGACAGATACTTAAACGATATTCAAAGAAAAGTGTATGGGGATTGATTGATATGATTATAGAAAAATACCTTTTGCAATTTCTTGAACTAGGGCGGGAACAACCATACCGGAATAAGAATCTCCGCCAACATAAAAAGGGTTGGAAAAAAATTGTTGATGTTTGCTTAACCACTGCACAAAACAAAAGATAGACTCTCGATTAATGAGCTAACCCACCGTAAGATACCAATAAACACCTCAATCGTTTAAAACCTTGTTTGAATAAGCTTGACTATCTTGGCAATCAGTGTTAATCAGTGTTATATATTAATTCTATATCTGGCCGAGATCAGTCTCCGAATCCACTACCAATCAATTGGGTTACTAAGAGAATTACAACATACACAAGAGCTTTAATGCAAAAAAAAAAACAAGAAATAGGCTTTAGCAAGAAAATTAAGGTTTTCTTAATACCTTTTGAAGAAACTCATAGATCCTTTTAACTTCACCCGTGTCACTAATTTTATGAACAAGTGGAGTTCTTGAATAGGAGAAGCCAGCTCCAACTGGCTGATCCAAGAATATTATGTTGGCCATCTAAAAAAAAATGGTCCTTCTTAAAAAGATCAAGAATAGATAATTGGCTTTGTGATCGACATTTGAACAGAATTTTACCTTTGTCCATGAATATGTAGTAGACACCAAAGATGGAACACTTCCATTGTAAACCTCAAACTTCAAAGCCACCGGTCCTATTATTTCCCCCAGCTTTAAACAAGTCACTCAAATAATTCTTAGCGAAATATTATAGATATACCATTCTCAAAAAGAAGGCCAGTGAGAGAGGAACATCCAGGCCCTCCAGTTAACCAGAGAAGAAGAGGGTCTTCTTTTGGATTCTTCTCAGATTTGATGAAATAGTAAAACAATTGCACTTCCTCTTCCTCACCAATACCAATGTACCTTCATTCAGAGAAAATCACTAATTAGTAACTCGAAACCAAACACATAATTGCATTGCTGAAAAAGAAGAGAGATTTTACAAACCCGGTTTCAAGTTCAAAAGGAAGAGGGCCTTCAAAACCAGGAAGAAATTTGACAATAGAGCCAGAATGAGCATGGTAACTCAAGACAAGTACAATTAGAAGTAGCAGAAACTCTAGTGTCAAGCTCATTTTATTTTAGTTTCTGAAAACATTTAACCAGTTTATGGGAAACAAAAGATCTCTATAATTACAAAAGTCGCTCCATAGGCCCTGTTTTCTTTTGTGGAGCAGCCATATCGAGTTGGTTATGAAAATAGATATTTTATTATGTTGCATGCGTCGCTCTCCCTCCCTATATACCATTACACTTTCGACATAACATGAATAATGTATAAGGTAGGGACGTTGGTTTTATGGCTCTTATTGTTTTGCATGTTCTTATCCTCGCCACATATTTATCTAAATATTGATATGATTTGGATATCAAATCCAATCCTCGTCTCTTCCAAACGTTAGATATAATTTTTAAAAAATTAATATTGAAAAGTTACCAATAAAGTTATGTAAATATATAATTTGATACTTTTGATCATCTTAAGAAACTATATACCTAATTGTTACAATATATATATATATATATATATATATATATATATATATATATATATATGTATATTTGTAGAAGTTGCGTCTAAAGTGATGCAAAATATCTTTATTACTCTATAAGAAACTATGTAGAAAGCTCTATCAATGGTTTACAAAAGAGAGAGGCTATGTCAATGTTTTTCTTTTCTTTTAAAAAATTTCATTTCAACCGGTTTGCTCGTGTGTTCATTCCTTCTGTGAAAGTTCCTTGCGTCAATGACTATACTTTGTTGTTTAAATTGAACTTTATAAAACAAGCAGGCAAGCGACTTAGTCTAAATTAGAAATGTTTTATGCATCTAAAAAAATTGTGAATAACATGGAGATAGGTTAATAACTTTTTAAATTTGAGAAATTTTTTTATTTATTTAAAAGCTAAGTTTAATTGTAAAAATAACATAGAACAATATAATCTATGAGAAGATAAAAATACCAAATGTATAAAATCCATGAATAACACAAAAATGTTACCTAACAACAATAAACCAAGAAGTTCCAAGTCTTTGGCCTGTAGTCTCCCTAGACCCAAGAAAAGCCTTTAATAATACCTCATTGATTGGTAGATATCTCCCTCCCAAGCTTGTCGAACAAGTGGGGAGAGAGTTCTAAACCTCCTCCGGAGGAACAAATAACTCACATAGTAGATATTTTCTAATTTTACAAAGGTTGGCCATTAATCCACCTTTGAAACATGATAAAACTCTCATTTGGTTTATTCTCTACTGTGTGCCCACCTCCCTATAATCAAAACGCTCAAAACAATTAGAAAATACTTTTGATTTAATGGAATGACTAATAAAAATGTTAAAGTGAAACAAGAAGACTTGCTTTGACAGTGGCAAAAGTCATCTTATTGGAATAAGTTCTTGTGTATCTGTCAAGAAAAAAAAAAAGGCATGAATGATTTTTGCAAGAGCTTTACAAGCTTGCGATACGATGAGAAAATGAATGAACAAGAGAAACCTAAAACACAACTATATATATACCCAGCGATTTGATCTTTAATCATCCAAGGTCTCCATTCATGAATGATGGAGTAATTTAGAGATTTTATCCATGCTTGAGTTGCTTGGAAAGGAACCACCAAATCATGATCACCACTGTCCACCATAAACGGCGTAAAAATTATAATCTTTAAATTTTGTAGGTAGGAATGGACACTATGGATTAAGGTTATTGGTTTCCATTTGATTTGTTTCAATCTTGATTTGAGAGAAACTTAAACCAAATATAATTTGGTTTGCTTCGTTTCATCATGACGCAACTCGGTTTGGTTTTATTGTTTTTAGAAAAATAATTCCAAAATATAAATACATAGTAATTTTAGTAAATATGGTTTACGTAATATGGATGTGCCTAAGGTTTTAAAAAATTCTTGTTTATTCGTTTTCGTTTTGTTCAATTCACTAAACCAGTTTCAGTTTCCTTTTTTCGGATTTAAAAGTAAAATACTAACAAATTTCGGTGCTGTTAAAAAAAAAAACAAATTTCGGTTTGATTCAATTTGGTTTGGCTTGACGTCTCTGATTATGAAAATTTTGATCAGGTTCTTAAAATTTTAGATTAAGTATCAAACTCTTACCTGTAGATGAGAGATCGGTAGCCATTAATACTGTTATTCATATGGTATGGTACGCTGCTCTTGATGTCCTTGTCGTATGGTTTACTCCGATTACATCGCACCCATTCTCCTATACTCCACTGTAATCATAAATCGTCCATATTTTAGATTTTAAGGTTTCTTTTATTTATTGTCATCACACTTTATCAATGATCTTAATATAAACTTGGCGTATACCTTATTAACATGAAGAGCATCGCGAACGCTCTCGTCGTTGGCCCAGTAGCTAAGGAGATAATATGGATATAACTGCAAAAGCAACCTTAATGTTTGTTCGAATTGAAAGTAATACATTGGCTTCAAGATAAGCATATATTCACACATCATTTTCATATGGATTAAATGATTAATCCATTTTTATTAGATTCTTCCTTAAAAATAGATTGTATAATCTACTAATTTTGGTTACAAATTTTGCTTGGTTTGATCAAAAATTTCATCATATATATTCGTAAATTTGTATATATTTTCTCCATAACAAATATTAAATAATTATACAATTCAGAAATAAAAAAAATTGGGGTATTAATTAAACATCAAAATAAAAAGTAAATGAGACATTTTCAGGTTTTTTCTCTTTGATTTTCTCTCTAACCAAGATTTTTGATCACATCAGATAATTTTTCCCTTTTACAAGGGTCACTAGATGGAGACAAGAGGTATTACTTACAAAGCAATCAGGAGATGTTATGTCGCAATCTGGTGATAATATATGGAATCTATTTAGTTTGTTGGTACACTATACATATAAAAAATAAAATTATCTGAATCAGATGATCACCATATGATAAATTACTGAAGATCGACCATATTTCAAAGTGTGTACCTTATGGTATTCTTCAACAAGTTTCAAACATTTTGTGTTACGTTGATCCACATTGAAATAATTTCCGTTGCAGGCCCTCCTAATTGACTGTTAAAACAAGAAAAACAAATGTTTTAAACATTTTTTCTTGTTTTAAACATTAAACTCTATATCATTTAGAGTTTTGAAAAATCTCAAGGTTAACTAGACTCGTCGAATATAAAACTCTCTAATAAAGAAATTTAACTAATTAAGCATGACCTAGATTTCATACCTCGTAAAGTTCATCTGAAATTAGTGCCATTCCATGAGAAAATGGAACGCGATAGTTTCGGTCTTCTTCAAAATATGTTATCGGGTTTCCGAGTATATAACCCTGTTTTTGGTAAGAATAAATATAATCATCAACTTAACAGAAAAAAATCTATATACAAATATCAATCTCTTTTTTTTTTTGTCCGCACATTATCAGTTTATAGCCTTGTTTGAAAAATCGCTAGGCGCTAGTCGGGCGTTCGGCATGGGCCTAGCGATTAATCGGAAAATCGGATTAAAATCAGAGATTAATCGGGGATTAGTTTTAGGGTTATTTTAATATTTTTAAAACATATTAATCCAATATTATTTTCAAAATTGCAGTAAACACATAAAAATGTATTTTTGAGACAAATTTTTATGATTTTTATTACAAATTTATGATTTTTATTAAAATTTGAACATAAATTATTGTAAAACATTACAAACTCCCAATTCAAATGATTGAATAACAAAAATAAAAAGTTTTTTTTATACTAGCAATCTAAAAATAATCGGGGTATGTAAGATTAGGCGGGGAATAATCGGATTAGGCGGGAAGTAATCGGATTAGGCGGAGAGTAATCGGGTGACTGATTTCTTTAAGGGATTAGTCATTAATCGAGGCGGATAGGGTGGGCCTAGCGATTAAGCGGGGAGTAATCAGGTCTAGACGGGGATTTTTAGAACAGGGGTTTATAGTGTACAAAATAATATCCTAATAATATGATTTGATCAGAAATTTTTTAAAATCAATATTCTTAGGAAATTACAAAGAGCAATTAAATGTCAATGACCTGTAGATTTATAGGACGGTTGCAACATATATAATTTCCTGCATCATAGTGTATGTTATTTTAAAGAGCACGGTTAAACGATATTCAAAGAAAAGTAAATGAGAATACCTTTAGAGATTTCTTGAACGAGGGCTGGAACAATCATACCGGAATAAGAATCTCCGCTAGCATAAAAAGGGTTGGAAGAAAACTGTGGATGCTTGCTTAGCCACTGAGAAAAAAAAAAAAGACTCCAAGGTTTAAATAAATGAGTTTAGCTTGACTAGTTTGAAAAGTAAATGACATCAAATTTGTTTCATAAAAAATATCTTTTTAGGTTTTTAATATAGATGTTGGATAAAATTTTAGTTTTATTTATATTATTTTAATATATTGACTAATGAAAAGTTTTGTAAATTATATTGACAAAAAGTATAAAAATAATTTAATTGTTTTTCCTAATTTGCGTAAAAATTTCAAACGATATCTAGTATAAAATGAAGGAAGTATTAAGTTTATACGAATTAAAACATACACAAGAGCGTTAATGCAAAAAGACAAGACAAATGCTTTGAGATGACAAATTAAGTTTGTCTTTTACCTTTTGAAGAAACTCACGGATCCTCTTAACTTCGCTTGTGTCACTAGGCTTATCAATAAGTGGGGTTCTTGAGTAGGAGAAGCCAGTTCCAACAGGCTGATCCAAAAATATTATGTTCGCCATCTGACAAAATAATCAACAAAAAACTGATAGATCATGGGGTTTTTTTTATTAACATATGAACATACTTTCTTCTACCTTTGTCCACGAATATGTTGTAGAGATCAAAGAAGGGACACTTCCATTGTAAACCTCTAACTTCAAAGCCAGAGGTCCTAAGAAATAAAGAAAACCACAGGTCTTAATATTTTCTTAACCCACTTTAACCAAGCCTTTTGAAAATAATCCTTAGAGCAAGAGGAAACAAAATATATATATAGATTTACCATTCTCGAAAAAAAGGCCAGTGATAGAAGAACATCCAGGTCCTCCATTTAACCAGAGAAGAAGAGGGTCTTCTTTTGGATTGTTCTCAGATTTGATGAAATAGTAAAACAATTGCGATTCCTCTTCCTCACCAATACCAATGTACCTTCATTCAGAAGAATGACTTATTACTAACTCCAAACTCAAAACACAATTGTTTTCAAAAGAGAAATTTAACAAACCCGGTTTCGAGTTCGAAAGGAAGAGGGCCTTCAAAGCCGGGAAGAAACTTGACGATAGAGCCAGAATCAACATGATGATTTAAGATAAACAGAAGCAGAAGCAGCAATTTTAGTGTTAATTTCATTCTCTCTTAGTTTCTAAAGATTGAGTCCTCTTACCAATAATAGAGGTTTCGTCACGTTTTGTGAAATGCGAGGTCACTAGTCGCTCCACGTCATATCATTTATTTTACTCACCGACTCTCTTATGTATATATTGTTTCCACATAAATTCAAAATCTGATGAATATAAAAGTTGTCTTATATTCTTACCTTTTCTTCTTTTAATTTACACTAGATCCGGACCCGCACATACGGACGGGAGAAAATACACAAATAAATGGGTTTGCATAAAGTTTGAATTAATAAATTGTTTTTTTTTTGTGTTAGTGACCATTACAACAGTATATCAAAAATGTAGTATATTTATTGAAAACTTTTGTTTGGTGTTTTTTAAAAACTTTGGTACACATATTTATTATTTGTTTCATTCGTTATAAAAAATATTTCTCGTCATTCGTTATTAATTTATTATACATAGTGTAGTTATAAAATATTATTTGCAACATTTTTATGTGTTTTTTATATAAAAAATTTACAACTGGTTTTGGTGCACAAAAATAATTTGAACAGTTGCATAAGTTAGGTGTGTAATAATGAAAATAGAAATGTTAAATTTTGAAAGAAAATGAAAATTTAAAATTTGTAAAATAAATATATTGTATAATGCAACATTATTGGTAATTGGTAATTTAGAAAACCTCTCTACCAACATTTGGTAATATTTAATTTAATTTATTTATTTGATCAAACTAAAATATTTTTAATATTATAACTTTTATTCAATCAAAAGTATATATAATCTAATTGTTAAATGTTTGTTTATTTATTTACTATACAAATTCTAGATTATCTATACTATTAATTGGGAATCACTAAAAAATAAAAAAACCTTTTTGTTGTAAAATATTACATGGAATGCCATTGGTATTTTTGAATTTGAAAAAGGGAAAAAAAATCAGAAAATGGTATTTGTGTCCATTTGATATTTGTTTTTTTTTATATAAAAACGAAATTAAATCAACAAATTAATAACTACCTAATATTTATAGAAATCGTTTGAAATAGTTTCTATAAAATCAACAAATTAATAACTACCCAATATTTATGGAAATCTTTTAAAGTAGTTTTCATAAAAAATCTAAGTATTAGTTTCAAAATTTTATATATGTAAACTTATTTAATTTCGTAATACATTTTGAGATATTTCCAGAAACAAACAAAAAAAAACAATTTAATATCATGATATATTTATATTTTAATCTTCTTTAAGAAATTATACTAATAAATTCTGATTAGTATAGATGGAAGGAAAAAAAATTGAAATTGAATATATGTTGACTTATTTAATTTGGCAAGGTAATGTTAGATATTTCCGGAAACGACAATCTAAAAAATAACAGAGCATAATTTATTTTTTATTTTTAAAATTTCCATAATAAAATCATACTAATTAATTTTGATTAGTTTAGATGGATGAAATAAAAAGTGAAGTTGATTGTTCCAACGTTTTAAAAAATAGTTATTATATTTCCCAAATATAATCTAAGCTAAATATTTTGTATTTTGAAATATAGAATATTCCTCGAATAAATTAGGGATATTAGATACATCATAATCTCAAAAATATTTTGTGATTTGAATGCAATGCATGAGCCCTAGACAATCCAAACTTTCATCTCATGTTTTGATTTATTTTTAATTAAATATAATAATGTCAAGAAATTAGTAAATATATATTAGGCTAATAAGGCTTTATTAGTAGCCCATAAAATATTGCCCACTACATAAAAAAAACATATGTATCATTACATTAAAAGTGTGAGACCATATAATAATATAATTAGTTTAAGAGAAATTATTAAAAATGCCCCTTTTTCAATACCCCTTTTCAAAAATGCCCCTTTTGAGAGTCCATTTTTAAGTTTGCCCTCTTTTAATTTTTAATGACCATTTTACCCTTATTTGAAACAAAATTAGGTCTACAAAATACAAAATATTTTTTGGCGGGAAAAGTGATCCCGCAATTTTCCCGCCAAAACACTTGTAAAAACCTTTAAAATACCTTGTAAAATTTTCCCGTAAAAATTTTTCCCGCCAAAAAATTTTTTTTGCGGGAAAAGTGATTCCGCAATTTTTTTGCCGAAATTTTTTTGGCGGGAAAATTTTTGGCGGGAAAAATTTATAAGGTATTTTAAAGGTTTTACGGAGTATTTACAAGTGTTTTGTAAGGTTTTACAATGTATTTTAAAAGGTTTTACAAGGTACTTATAAGGTTTTATAAGGTATTTATAACTTGTAAAACCTTATAAAAAACTTGCAAAACCTTATAACTTGTAAAGCCTTATAAAGGAGCTTGTAGAATCTTATAATATCTTATAAATACTTTATAAATACTTTGTAAAACCCTTTTAAAATACATTGTAAAACCTTATAAATACCCTGTAAAAACCCTTTAAAATACCTTGTAAATTTTTCCCGCCAAAAATTTTCCCGCCAAAAATTTAACGCCAAAAAATTTGCGGAATCACTTTTCCCGCTAAAAAAATTTTTTGGCGGGAAAAAATTTTACGGGAAAATTTTACAAGGTATTTTAAAGGTTTTACAAATTTTTACAAGTGTTTTGGCGGGAAAAATTGGGGGATCACTTTTCCCGCCAAAAAATATTTTGTATTTTGTGGACCTAATTTTGTTATATTTCCTTATATATTTATGATATCTTTTATTAAAAGAAGGGTAATTTAGTCATTTTGTACATAAAAGGGGTATTTTTAAAAATGGACATCCCAAGGGGGCATTTTTGAAAAGGGGTATTGAAAAAGGGGCATTTTTGTGAGTCTCCCTTAGTTTAAAGATTAATTTAGAAATTATTATTACAACAATTAAAAAATTGTGTATGTATTTTCCCTTGGTTAACACACAATCCTCTTAAAACATTTACACAAAATCCTTCACTAACCATAATATTACCCATTTACACCAAACTATTAAAACACCTAAAATAAAATTGTTTTTGTAACCCTACTTTACATCAATCAAAACTATAATATTTTCACAATTCATATAATTTTTCAGTATTTTCAATTTAAAACTTTTAAGATTTGCAGTTTCATAATATAAAATAAAATATTTTTGAAGGGGTGAAAGCAAAATAATTTACCGAGACCACGTCAGAAAACAAAGTATAATAATTCAGGGGTGAAAGGGAAACAAAAAATCTCGGCAACTAAAGAAAAATTGGAAAAGGAAAGTGCGATTAAAAAATAATCTTTCGACCTAATTCTTTTACTCTCTTGTGTTAAGTCGGTTTAATCAATTGGTTAAATTACTTATGTCTTTATCTCGGGTTACGGTACAATCAAAATCGATTTCATCGTCTTCTTTCTCTCTTTCTCTCTTCATCGTCATTCATCATCATCATCAAATCTCAGGATCTTGGAGGTGGCTCTTCTCTTTCGTACCTACCTTCTAGACTGTGATTTCCAATCTTCGAACTCTCGGTGAGTTTCTAGGTTGCCTCTCTTTCGGAAATCCCGTCACACCTCTGCTTTCAGAATTGGATCAATTTCATTAGCTTATCAGTTTTAATCAATTGGGCAACAGTAGAGGATTGCAAGAGCTGCTGAGTCCACGAGTTCTTCTCCATCAGTAGCTTCCGGTGATACAACCCTAATCCATGATGATGAATTCACTCTAACCAAGGTTATATTGCTGTCAACCTATCAAATCCCTAATCAAGAGTTTCTTCAAATTCAGTGTGTCAATGTGATCGAGCACTTAGTGAAGTAGATGAGATTTTTGGTTAATCATATTTTCCAGTTTTACTTGCGGAGACAAATCTTCACTTTCGATCAATTCATGGGTAAGAGATGTTGTTTTCTTCTTTGGGTTTTTGGGAGTTTTTTCCTTCTTTATAACGATTCTGATTGAAGTTCATGCAAAACTGAGAGTTGTTTCATTAATTATTATTCTCTTTGTCTACTTGTTGATTTAGTAGCTGCGTTACAGGTCCAGTCCGGTTCAAAGACATCACGTAACAGTTAGCACTCCTCGGTCAGTGATAAATTTGGAGGAAACCTTAGAAGTAGAATAGTTTCTCTCAATTTATTCATTAGCCAATAGACTCTTATTTATACAAAGATATTACTTGCATAGCAAGTTCTTTACATTTATGATAATAGTAAATATACCTATTTAACAATAAGGAGATATACACAAATGTTAACTTTCCTAATAATAATAAGGAAATATATTCAACTCGATCTCGTAATCCCGAGATCTCTCATCCACCGTCGATCTTCCGATCTACGCTTCTCTTTCTCCCAATAGTCAGTTTCTTTTTTGTTGATTTGGATTCAAATTCGAATTATCTTTCATTTTTAACAGAGACAAATTTCTCAAGATACATATGAAGTAGTATCTAGTTCGGTTACTATTTTTTCCATCTTGTCGGAGCTCTTGAGCTCTCGGTATTTCAGAGAAGGATATGGTGCTTTTGAGACTTCACTTTCCTAGTATTCTGAGTTTCAATGTCTTCGGAGTCGTCTTCGATCAACAACAAAAGCACCAGGTGATTTTTTCATTACATTTACAAAATTCTGAGCTATTTGTTTTCGATTTAAGATTAACGTTGGAGGACTATCCAGCAAATGGATCAATTAATCATGTAAGTATTCTATCTTAGTAACATAGAACTTTCACTCTTTAAGCCGAGAGTTAGACACTTTATTTAGTAAGCATAAAAATGCTATCTAAATTAAAACAACACAAAGGCAATAGAGAAGATAAGTAAATCATAAAAAACGATAGAATTTGCGAGAGCAACTTAAAACTCAAAAGAAAAAACAAATTTAGGAGTAGTTATCCCTTTTTCTCCTTTGTATTCTCATATTTAATTTCCTTCTCATTAGTCTTCTCATCCTAAATGTTCTTATCCTTCATTACTTAGTCCAATGCTTCTTGCTTGGGTGCTTAGTTGCCTCAACAATACCCCTTTCTCTACTTGTAGATGATGCTGTAGATCAAAGTGGACATTGTAGCTTTAATGGTTTGCACTACTATTAGTAAAACCTAGGGGAAAGATGACAATGAGATTAGCAAAAACATTAAAATCATTAGATCTATAGTTAGGAGTAGATAACTCCTTATTTTAGGTCTTGAATCTGTAGTTAAGAAAGAAAAAAAAAGGATAGTTAGTAAGATTTAGTATACCACTTGTGAATCTCATCATTTCTCACTTGATTATAAGAAACACAACACTTAAAATCATTATATAAGAAGAATATTTTGTAAACTTGGACATAGATCACAAATTAACGATCTAGGAGTATTGATGCAGATTAAGATATCATCTACATAGCATGCCTGTGAGACATCACAACCTTAGTTACACAATAATTGTCAATAAAAAAAGAAGATAAATTAGAAACACGTTTAATTTATCATTGTTGTCTAAAAAGTTGGTTTATTCTTGAAAATGCTTACGCAGTTTTAAATTCCTCAAACCTCTGTAATGGATGGTTAATAATGATCTGAGAACAGTCGAAGGCAGTGAAAATGTTCTGGATATCTGCATCAATATTCAGAAATTTGTATTCATCTCTACGCCAAATCATCTATAGACTCTTATAGACCCATTGAAAAATTAAGAATGTTATTTACCTCCCTACACTCTTTTATTGGCAAATCTGATCAGAGGAATAATCATTTCATCGCCTTCGTTTTCACGTGTACTGTAGATTTCACTTGAATATGCATCTTGGTTCGAAAGGCTTCAGTAATCGCGGAAGCCAATTGAATTTTTTTAGAAGATGAGGTAATGAGTTTTCGTTTCTTTCTTCAATAATTATTTATAGAGATGTTTAGTCGGCTGCGGTTTAGGTTTGATAGGAAAGAACTTTAGAATATCTTTAAGATATTCGAATTTAGTGTGCATAATTGTAGATTTCACGTAGTTTTGGTTGGAATAGTTATGTTATTAACCCGTTTAGTTATGGAAAATTCATTAATTATATTGTTTTTTGTATTGGAATATGCTCCTATAAATCCGTTAAAAATATATATGGAATGTTAGTTTTGATTTTGTCAACGGAATATACTCCTATTAACCCGATTATAATCAATATGGTAGGTAATTAAAGAATATTGCATTAACTTTATTTGCGTCAAGGTCCGTACCATAAGTCCAAGATCCGCGTATATAACCGCCCAAATGCATCCAGGATCCGCGTGTTTATCCGACACCAAACCCAGGATCCGCGTTTTTTTGTTTTTTTTTTCTATTCAAATTGTCAATTTTATCCTTTCACGATATTTTTCATTAATTCTTTGAATGCAAAATTCCTAATGGCATTCCCTTGTAATTTTTTACACTTTATAAGGTTTATTATTAGGTAATGCTTCCCAATTAATAGTATAAATTATTTTGTATAATAACTTATTCCTTAATTTTTTTTAGTTTTTGTCAACTGTATGAAAAGGAAATATTTTTCCTTTTTTGAAATAGTAAATTTATTAATAAACAAAAAAGATATTTAATTATTTACAAATAAGTAATTATAAAACATAAAAGGAAACATAAAAACAGATTACTATTTTAGAGCATTCAAATCGCGATCGCATATAAGAGATGAAACTTAGTTTATTGGTATGACGATATAGTATTTATACATATAAGAAAACCCTAAGACTAGGTACTTTGTGCAATTACGTGTGATACCAGACCCAAACACTCAAGTATTTGTATCATTTGTGGGATTAAAAATTTTGAGAACAAAAATGAATCGATTAACGGTTGAACTAATCTTTTCTTGTAAAATAATTGTAGAACGAAGTTAGTACTGTTGTGTATATCGAATAAAGTGTCCTCTTTTTCCTTTCACGGGGTTATATATTTGTCATTTGTGGATCAAAACGGCTAATAAACACAATGATTCTTCTTAAATGAGCCTGTTTCGATCTTGTCATGATTGATGTAACGCATAGATTTAAAATAGGCTTCCAACAAAACAAAACTTTTGGGCTTGTACCATGGGCTTTTCGTCTAGTCAGTTATGTTTTTTTTTTTTGGGCAAAAATTAGAGTTTAAAAAAGCTATTTCTAGAAAATATTGTTTACATATGTGATATGAAACGGTTCTATACGAATTTTTCGTGCCAGATGGTCAGCTTTTACATTAGCATTACGAGAAATTAAAGATAAAGAGAAGGATGAGAATACTTTCTTGTCGCTTTGGAATTCCTCTAAGTACACTGAAAACGCCGGTCATTCGGTTGGAGAAGACACCATCTTCACCAGATCATAACAGTCTAGTCAGTTATGTTCTACAACTTACATCCTAATTTTCACTTTGCTTTATTCTTTATTATATTCTTCTATTTATTTGGTTAATACCCATGTTCAAAAAATCGCTAGACGCTAGTTGCACGGTAAGGGTGGACCTAACGCCTAGCAAAAAAATCAGAAATTAAACGGAGATTAATCAGACACTAGTATTAAGGCTATTTAATATTTAAAAAATATATTAATCCATTATAATTAAGAAATTTATATATTAATATTTTTAAAATTGTATAAAACACATGAAAACAAAATTTTAAGGTCAAATTTATGATTTTTATACAAATTATAAATATAAGTGGGACATTTTAAATTTTAGATCAAGAAAAAGAAAAAAAAATGTAGAAAAACCGCCTAGACGGCGCCAAACCCAATTTTTTTTTCTACATTTTTTTTCTTGGGTTTGGCGGACGCTTAGGCGGTCTATGCGGACGAAAATCGGATCACCGATTTTTTTCATGATTTGGACAAAATCGCCTCGGCCTCCTCCCGATCAGCGGCTAGGCGGCCGATAACAGGGGTTACGACTTGTACATAAAATTCCTTTGTTGATCATTAAATTTAAAATTTCAAAAAACAATATAGAGAACTACAAACATAATCTTATGCTTTCTTGTTTATGACCGTTTGGACTTACAGTTTTGTTTTGTTGGAACCCCATTTTGAAAATGTTTTCTTTCTTTACATTATCTTCTTTTACTATATAGTAGATTAATAAATATATATCAAACTTGATGCTACATGCTTTCCTTTTTTATTGGCAAAAGGCCATCATCTCTTTTATTACAGAGGTTGGCCACTTATCCATCTTTGGAACATGATAAAGCTCTCCTCTGGTTTATACTCTGCAGTGTGCCCACCTCCCTATAATAAAACGCTCAAAAATGTTAGTGAGAAACAAAATGATTTGTCTAATAAAAAACGTTAGAGTATAGAAAAGAAAAAAACTTGCTTTGATAGTAGCATATGTCATCTTATTGGCATAGGTCATCGTGTATCTGTCCAAGAAAATTGTAAGAGTGATATCAAGATGAGTAATGAGTTCATGATACGACTGAGAAAATGAATAAAGAAGCAAAAATTAAAACGTCAAAATTATTTTACCCAGCAATCTGATTGTTTATTATCCAAGGCCTCCAATCATCAATGATAGGATAATTGAGAGATCTTATCCAAGCTTCAGTTGCAAGGAAAGGTACCTCCATGTCGTGATCACCACTATTAACCAAAAACGTCATAAAGTTTGTATAGAGAACTAAATCAGTTCTTGAAAAAGTAATTTTAACTCAAACCTGTAAATAAGAGATCGGTATCCGTTGATGCTGTTATTCATATGATATGGTATGCTGCTAATAATGTCGTCATTGTAATCAATATTCCTATTACATCGTGTCCATTTTCCTATACTTCTCTGTAATCATATATAGTTAGATATCCAGTCCATTTTCATTTTGTTTGTTGAATTTTTATATCCATAAATTCATATACAAGTAATAGTTGAACATATAGTATTAACTTTTCATATGCTCGCAAAAGACGATATGTCAATGATCTTTAAATGATATCGACGTTATTATTTCCTTCGACAATATTAATGTCATATACGTACCTTCCTGATTTGAAGAGCTTCACGAACCCTCTCGGTATTGGCCCAATATGTAGCTAGTGTACTGTGGTACCCCTGAATAAGTAAGCTTGTAAAGATTAAAAAAAATATCTAAAATTGAAATTCTTTTCAGAACCCATTTAACAAAAAAAATGATATTCTTTTCATGATTCATCAGTGTGATTTTTATTTAAAAGTATGTTGATTAAAACGACCACATGCTCATACAAATCTTTGTATAAATATATTACTGTTTTTCCCGTTTTTAATTAGAGTTTCAGATTTCTATTTTAATTGAAACAAAATTGGTAGTTAAATAGTAAATACTAATGTATTTTACTTTTCACAACAAAAAAATATAACAATATTGTTTTTGACCCTGATACTGATACAACAGTATTTTTTTCAAACATGATATTTTTGAATTGTCATCACATTTTTTCAACGGTTAATTGATTCAATAAAATGAGATGGATTACTTACCCAGCAAAGTGGAGATCTTTCATCGCACTGTGGTAATAATATTAGTTCTCTAAATATTTTATCAGTACACTGTAAATAAATTAATAAAAATTTTGACTCAGTCAGTTATGATAAGTAAAAAAAAATAAAAAATTAGTGATGATATTTATTACCAAGAAAAAGACAAAAACATTGACCAAATATCAGAATATGTACCTTATGGTACTCTTCACAAGTTTCAAACATTTTGTGTTAGATGGATGCACGATTTTATATTGTCCTTTGCAGTTTCTCTTCAGGGACTGTAAAATAAAAGTTCATTATGACAAGAAACGAAAGCGTCGCGCATATATATGGTAATCAATGAGCTATGGGGACGATTTCATACTTTGTAGAGTTCATCAGAGATTAATGCCATTCCATGAGCATATGGAATACGATAGTTATAATCAAATTCAAAATTTGATACTGGGTTTCCGAGAACATAACCCTGTTTTAAGTAAGAAATATAAACTAATCAGCTTTTTTTTTTGTTAAAGAACTAATCAGCTTTTTATGTTCCATATATATGTATAATTACTTAAGAAGCAGTAAGAATCAGTGACCTGAATATTTATTGGAGGTTTGCAGCATAAATAATTTTCTGCATCATCATATTTATATATTGTTATAAAGTAGGAACTAATTGAGTAAAAAACAAGAGTTTAAAAACTATAATGAAGATTAATCATTTATATGATCACAAAACCATACCTTGTGAGATTTTATTAACGATAGTTGGAACAATCTTACCGGAATAAGAATCTCCGCCTACATAAAAAGTGTTGGAGAAAAACTCAGGATGTTCACCTAGCCACTGCTCAACAACAATGCACCAAAAAAAAAACACACAAATTAAATTTCTATGACAAGCACAAAGACATACTTCCAAAGACATATTAATATTTCACAAATTGTGACTCCCATATTCGTTACAAATTCGTAACTAATTTGTGACTATAGATACGTCACAAAATCGTCACACTTGTTTCGGTCATAAAATCGTAATATTTTTGTCGCTAATTGAGACTAATTTCGGTCATGATCAAAACCGTCACAATTTTGTGACGAAATTACTACGAAATTGTGACAAATATATTTTGTCACAAAAAACGTATCAAAAAAGACACAAATTGGTGACGTATATTATTAGTCTTAAACTTCGTCTCAATAAAATTGATTACTTGTAGTATATTTCACCTTTTGAAGAAATTCGTAAATCCGCAATATTTCTATTGTGTCACTTGATTTATCAAGATTTGGAGTATTTTTGTAGGAGAAGCCAACTCCAATAGGCTGATCCAAGAATAATATGTTCGCCATCTGCGACAAATCCACAGAACAAAAATAATATAAAAGAGTCTTGATTGTTTCTATATTTACATGTCTAAAAGAGCCAAACACTTCACTACTTCTTTTAATGAAGTACAACCGCTAAATTAAAAAATTCCTTCTGTGTTTGGCATTTATGTTTACTATTAAGAAACAAACAAAAACCGTCTACTAATGACAAAAAAATAGGTTTAAAAAAAAAACTATTTAAAATGTTCATGGTTGCGAGTTCATATGAAAAAAAAACTCAAATTAAATTCACCTATGAATAAAATTTATGTTACCTTTGTCCATGAATATGTTGTAGAGACCAAAGAAGGAAGACTTCCATTATAAACCTCGAACTTTATAGTCACAGGCCCTAGTTATTTTGTTTTAAAATTTAATAATAAACTTAGAAGAAGAGGATCTTCTTTCGATAAAGAATATTTATGAAAAAAAAAAATGAATATTTTGAATTTACCATTCTCAAAAAGAAGAGCGGAAATAGAAGAGCAACCAGGTCCTCCACTTATCCAAATAAGAAGAGGATCTTCTTCTGGATTCTTCTCAGACTTAATGAAATAGTAAAACGATTGCAGTTCTTCTTCTTCACCAATACCGATGTACCTTCATTGATAACAATAATTTATAGAAGGATCTAGGTCTAGGATCATCT